ATAGCATATGCAGTTCACATTGTTAGTCAGTTTATGGCTGCTCCTTGCTTCACTCATTATGCAGCAGTACTTCGCATTATTTGCTATGTTAAGGGAACATTATTTCATGGACTCCATTTTTCTGCCAACTCCTCCCTTGTGCTTCGTGCTTACTCTGATGCTGATTGGGCTGGTGATCCTTCTGATTGTAGATCTACCACCGGTTACTGTCTTTTCCTTGGTAATTCTCTCATCTCTTAGCGGAGTAAGAAACAAGCTATTCCATCTCGCTCTAGTACAGAAGCTAAGTATAGAGCTCTCGGGGATACCACATCAGAACTTCTTTCATTGCGGTGGCTTCTTGAAGATATGGGCATTCCTCAACCTTTTTCTACTAATTTATATTGTGATAATCAAAGTGCTATGCATATTACTCATAATGATGTCTTTCATGAACGCACTAAACACATTGAGGTTGATTGTCACTTTATTCGCCATCATATTGCACAAGGAACTGTTCATTTGGTTTTCATTGGCTCCGCTGATCAACCAGTAGATCTCTTTACCAAGGCTCATTTTCTTGGACGCTTTCGTACTCTTCTTTCCAAACTCAAGTTGGTTTCATCACAACCACCTTGAGTTTGAGGGGAGATGTTAAGATGTGAATATAATTATATTTAGAATTATTGTAAATATTTTATACTTTAGAATATTCTCTTTGTATACTTTATATCTTAGAATATTCTCTTTGTAAACACCTATATATAGGTCATTGTACATACAATATAATTCAAGAAAGCAATAAACCTTTCTTTAGATATTTCTCCTTCTTTTCAGTTTCTAACAATGGGGAAGATCGTTATGGTCATTTTATGGGTGATGTCTACTGCAACGGTGTATTTGTATAGGTACTGTATTGATTTAGCTTCAATCATCTTTTATACTTATTGTCAACCAAATTAGTCAGATGTTCTTTGCCAAACAGGAACTAATGCTCAAGAAAGGATTTGCATGGTATTACACAGCCTATGACCACCGCTTACAGCTTGATGTGAGTGATCAATAGCAAGTTATGCTTACAGCTTGATGTGAGTGATCAATAGCAAGTTATGCTAAAGTAATTACTAATCTTCCATTGTATTGCTTCATTGTATCGATTCTAAATCTTTTGTGCTTGAATGATATCAGTGGGAAAAAGAAGCTCGAGCAAAGCGAGTTGGTTTATGGGCTTCTTCAAATCCTCAGAAGCCATGGGAATATAGAAAGGATAAACGAGAAGGCAGATAACACTTTTTTTCCCCATCGGATACAAGTAATCTTCTGCTACATTAACCATTTGGCACATGTGGAATTTAAATGCTGTCCTAACTTTGACTCAAGACTAGGGTTCCACAGCTGAACAGAGAAAGAAACTGCAGATTCATCTTTTCAGAATTTGTGTATTATTATTACAAACACTGACCCTGGGAGATCCTCTTAGTATTAAGGGTTATATAAAGACTTCTATTTTATAATATATTTTATAATCTGAATTATAAAATAATAGACTTTTATTATTAATCATTCTTATTTAAACAGCATGAGTTTAAACAAAAAGGATTTGTTATACTTATTGCTTATAATCATAGTGCAAAGGCTACAAATAACATCGGAATGTGAAATACAATGCCTAAGATACCTGTGTATGGATTTTTATTTTTTTTTGGAAAGTGTATGATCTTGTTCGGACTTGGCTAGAGATTGCTAGGTTGTGTTGTATTATAAGTATCTTTTGTCTTTTATTTTTTTCTTCTAAAAAATATACAAAAAAATATTTATTAAAATTTTTAAAATATAAAATATATATTAAAATTAATTCTTATGAGAAATTTGTATTTTTAACCAGTATGACCTTGAGAAAAAGTGCTGTGACCTGGTAGCAGAACATCCATCCAAATAACAGCAATGGATATTTTTGTGACCAATGAATCCACTCTCACAAAACCACACGATGATGGTTTCAACCTGCTTCTGTGCCTCAAGTAGGCCCCTAAATCAGTTGTTTAGAATTAAAAACCATTTTTTTTCCCACTGGAAAAGGCATGGTGTGTCATTTTCTTGTTTTGCTTGGGTTGGATTCTCGGCCTCAAAAATCATTGCTTTTGTTCGGCACTGGCACTGTTCCACCAAACCAAAATGAAAATTAAAAAAAATGTAGAGAAGGCTATTAGAGTAAAAGGGCCTAAAGTTGTCATCCGTGCAACAGTCTATGCTTCTCCATTTCCCAAACATCACTTCTCCTTTTTCTGTCTCTACTGCCTGCGAAAGGTTTACACTTCAGACTGAGAGAGCAACAATAAGATGGGAAATGTTCTTAGGTCCTTGTATGGGTGGTGCTGCAAGCCCACCACCACTGGAGACTCTGACTATCTAGGGCCCCATGGCGCCTCTGCCCCCACCGTGGGTGTCTCAGCTCTTGCACATGATCTCTTTAACTTTGAAAATACCTCCCAGGTACGTTTCAGGGTATTCATGCTCCGATCCCAGGCTGTGTTTTCTTTTTCTTTCTTTCTATTAGCTTGCAGTGAGCTTAAACAGGAAATCTGGGTTAAAAAAAAAATTAACTTTGTCTTAGGTTCCTGAGGGGCTTAGTAGGCATGTTCAGTCATCCGAGAGGGCTCAGGCTGAATGGTATGTATTGTTATCATATTATTGACTCAGTAATTGCGTAATTAATTTCAAGTTATTGACTAGTTTTCATGGCTTCCTATGTGTTGAAGAAAATAATTTTATGTACCCAAATTTGGGTTTTTGTGGTCTGACTAAATTTTGGGAACAAAATGAAGCTATGGAAAGCTGTTAGAGGCATGGAGAGAGGCAAGACCCCCACCTCAAACACCAGAGGAAGCTGCTAGGCTTGTCATCCAGACTCTGGAGAGGCATCAACTGGCAGATGTTGAGGTACATTAAAGAAAAAAGAAACAAAAGCATTGGTCTGTTTCATATAATCCTTAGAACTAAAGGAAGAAGGGACTAACGCGTTTCAGATTGTTCTGTATTTTGATGTTTTATAGGGATTATTGGCATTCTATGGTCTTCCTCTACCTGACACTCTCATCCAACTTTCTGCTGAAATTCCAACATCATTGCCTGAAGGGGTTCAGTTTGAGCTGTATACAGTACCAGTTAGAACTTTTATCTTTCTATTGAATCCAATTTGTAGTATGTGAAGACATCTGAATAGTCATTGAGTTTAATACCATGATGAAAATCATCAGGTGGATGCAAGAGCTGTAGGAGATGGGGATGGCATGACAGTTTATGTTAGGACTGAATCAGAAAGCGTTCCTGGGGAGGTATCACTGGCTGTTGATAAGCGAAAAGAGGCACGTGCTAGGAAGGATTATACCCTAGCAGATGAATATAAGCAGATGATTATTGATTCAGGATACCGGTTGCCAATCTAATTCTGATTGTGAATGAATTAAATTTTACCTAGATATTCTTCAATCCCAGTTGCTAATGGGTGGTATTGTTGTTGACAGGTTCTTTAAAATTCAAAATGGTGAGGAGATCCTTGCTCGAAAGTGTCGCATTCGTCTAAGGTAATACATCTGCTTAATGAATTTCAATTTGTGGTACAGTGATTGATAGTTAGGCAAAGTGAATAGGGGCATAGACGCACCAGAGTTGGAAATGCCGTATGGGAATGAGGCAAAAGAAGAGTTGGCTAACCTTGTTCAGGGGAGGTGTTTGAGAGTGCTAGTATACGAGAAAGATGAACATGAGCGCGTTGTTGGTGATGTATACTGCAATGGCATATTTGTGCAGGTACTATTTTATTTAGCATGATTTCTGTGTTATTAAGTCCGAGCCAAGTAGTTTTCTTATCTCTCTGTTAAACAGGAAGCAATGCTCAAGAGAGGGTTTGCTTGGCATTTTAAAGCCTTTGATCAACGCCTGGCATTCGCAACTGTGAGTATCTGACTATCCTTGATCATTCATGAAGTTTGTTGTGTTGATTCTATATCTTTGAACTTGTGTGATTCTAGTGGGAGAGAGAGGCTCGAGAAAAGCGAGTTGGCTTGTGGGCAGATGCAAACCCTGAGGAGCCCTGGAAATGGAAGAAAAGGAATAGACGAGAAGGGTGATAATATTGACTTGATGGAAGATATATCATGGCAGATGGAGGAAGATACAGCAAAGAATCATCTGTAAAATGTTTAGGGTGTTGTAAAATGAGTATTGTAAAATATGTGTTGACAAGTTCAGCATGGAATCCCTGTGTTCTAATATCATTCTTAATATATAAACCTGTGTTCTAATTTGAAAGCACTAATCTCACAAGTTATCAAAAATAAGATCGGACAAATACCATGCATGAACCAACACAATATAATTTTTCTAAAATAGTAACGTCAATACAATTTCCAACAAGTTTCTCAGTAGCAAACAACCGAGTAATCAACTGAAGAATCGAAGAATGCGAGCTTGCTATGATCGTAGCAATCTATGATAACGTAAAAGAAGCAAAATGAAACTAGGACAGGAAAGACGTAAAAATAATCTCTCCATTGGCACGAAATTTAGCTGACTCCGGAGGGCATGAAACAAATAGTCCACTGCTGTAGAAGAGAAACAGGTCAGTACGTAACAATTTTCCATGTTCAATCTTCAAAAGAAAGCATCACAAAACATTTAGTCAAAAGAGTACATCATGGCATAACCTATCCTTGGCCGGGGAAGAGAGGGGGGAGGGAATTGAGTCTTCATGACATAAAAGAATAAGAAAGCACCAGATAAGCAATTCAGCCTCAAAGACCTCCCCAGTTAACCCTTCCAAATCTCTAACACAAAATCCCCTTGCATGTACATGGTGGAAAAACGAGATGAGAAGCACAATGATAATAATTAAGAAAAAATGGTACAAGAACTGTAGCAAAGTTGGCCCTTACAGACCACACAGCATAAGAGGGACAAAGATACACCATCTAAAGTGTAAACCAATCTGAAATAGTTTATTGGCAATGCAAACTGAAACCTTAAATACTTATGGCAACCAGAAGAGGACAAGACTAACGATACCATCTGCAAAAGATAATTTGATCGAATATTTGAAAATAAGAAGAATAGTAAGAATTCAACTCACGTGTATATACACAGGTAATTCTGACAGGAAATAAGCTAAAATGGATCTATAAAAGACAAAGCAAATTAGCATTCTCAAGTTCTTCAGAAGGAAATCAAATAAGCAATCATAGAACAAGCATGCAACTGAGAGAGAAAAAAAGAAAGATATTTAGAGAAAAGTCAAGAGTAGAAATATATAATGGAATGCCAATGATGCTTTGCAGTTTGGTATAAGCCGAACCGCAACATCGTTGCCTCAATGAGAGGGGTTAACTCCTATATTTTGCGTTATTGTATAACCAGGACTGCAAAACTATTTTTGTAATGGAATTTAACAACATGAAATTCTGCAAATGAATCAAATTGAATCTTAATTAAGCATCTTTAGCAACGCATCAGAGACAAAGCAACATAGAGCAATGAATCCATGACTACCACTACAGCAACAGTTAAATCAGGCAATTGC